TTCCAGCCCTTAGCAGGGCTCTGCAAGTCCTAGCGCAGCCCAGCTGGGACTCCTTAGGATTGCTCGCTGCCCGCTGCCTCCGTCTCGCTGCTGTGCATGAGCAGCAGAACCGAGGCTTCCTTTGCATGGTGTGCTGCCTGTCCTGGCTGCCGAGTCACGTTTCGTTTTTCTTTTTTCTCCTTTTTTCGGAAAGGTTCTTCAAGCTTCACGAGAGGAAATGTGAGCCCATCATCATGACGGTCCCGCGAAAGGTGAGCGCAGCCTCCTGCTTGCGTGGTTTGAAGCCAGCTTCGTGCCTTCCAGCCCCATGGAGCCTGACCAGTTCGTTTCTCCTTGCAGTCGGACCTCTTCCAGGACGACCTGTACCCTGATACAGGCCGGCCCCGAGGCAGCTCTGGAGGCAGAGGAGTGGTTCGAGGGGAAGAACGCCGATCCCCTGCTCATTTCCTTGAAGCATGGCTACATTCCTGGCAAGAACAGGGATCTCAAGGTGGTCAAGAAGAATATACTGGACAACAAGCCGGCCGCAAACAAGAAAAGTGATCTCATAAATGCTCCAAAGAAAGCAGCTGATGCCTCAGACCCTGTGAGTAAAATCTGTGAGGTTTTGGGGACGGTGACCCGAGCCTTGATGATTGCCAGGGTGCTGGATCTTCAGGCACAGCCGTAACAAAGCCCAAGGGTGCATGATTTGAGCACCCTGGGGCCAGCTGCAGGTTTCTCTACCTGCAGAGAGCTGTGGGGCAAAGGAAAACTTGGGATCTCAGCCCGGCCACACGCCTGCTTGGGTTTGTTCAGCCCGAGGCTCCCTGTGAGCACGGGTTTGCACGAGGCTGGGTCGTTTGGGTGTGAAACACCTCCTGTGAGCAGCCAGCTCGCTGCTCATCTCCACGGGTTATGTGTGCCACGTCCTGCAGGGAGTTAGCCAAAGCCATTTGTTGGGGAAAAATGTAAGATTCTGAACCGGGCACCTTCTTGTGTGTGTGCAAAACCCCGTGGGACAAACCAACCTCAGGCTACGTGGGTCTGGGAGGAGGTTGAAGAGAATCGCCCGGCTGGGGGGACAGCTAAGGGATGGCGTGGTGATGCGTGGAGGCAGGGAGAGGGCAGCTTGGGGAAGGTGATGAAATGCTTCTAAAGAGCAGGATTTGTCCCGGTGTGTGTGCCAGGCACCCTCAGCACGCTCCCCTTGCTGCCCCATGCACCCCAGGATTTGGGGTGTCCCCTTGGCGAGCTGCCTTGCTCTGAACACTCCCTCCTGCAGACCCCATCCCACCAGCTCCGTAACCACCACGCCTCTTCTCTTCCGCTGCAGCAAAACGAAGCCAAATTGGACGAGATATTGCGGGAGCTGAAATCCATAAAGGACACGATCACCAACCAGGACGAGCGCATTTCCAAGCTGGAGCAGCAGATGGCGAAGATCGCAGACTGAGCGGGGCGAGCGGGCGCTGGCGGGCGCTGCCAGCCCAGACACATTCCAGTTCCCCGGTTCGGCAAGCAGCAGCGTGCAGCATTCCAGTACGAGCTTTCCTCTTCTCCCAAAATTCACGTCAACGAGAGCCGATGATTAAAAGCCAAGCTTTTTAGTGAAATATTTTTTTTTTCCTGATGTTTTAATGAATTTCTGTGACTGTGTCAAACAATTCAAAAAGAATAAGTGCTACTTTGACAGTTTTTTTTTTTTTTTTCCTCCAGATGTTATGAATTCTTGACAACAAACCCATTATGACTTTCAATGTTGTGCCCAAATACCTTTTTTTCTAGATTTAGGGACCAATGCCACATTGTTCTTAACCATTTTTTTAAAGTTGCCAAAAAAACGAAACAAAAAAAAAAAAGTTGCTTTTTATTTTTCTTATTTGCCACTTTGCAGTATTTGTGTTTTAAATCGAAAGGGACGGCACGGTGTGTGTGTGCGCGTGTGTGCGTGTGCTGGGTGTTTATACTGCTGAGAGATCCAAACCCGAGCTATTTTGTATAAATCTCCAATTTTGAACAATCAGATCGGTTCCCCCTGCAGTGTGGCCGAGGCTGCTGCTGAGCTCCCTCTGAGGTTCCGTGCGAGCTGACCTTCCTGCCTTCCCGATGTGTTCTGATGGCCGCTGTCTAACGGTTTTAACAAAAAAAAAAAAATATATATATATATATATAGTGCTGAATGAAGTGATTCATGCCACAGACTGCCTCTGCTCCTTCTTCCTCCCTGCACAACTTTTGACCTGAGCATCGCCTCCCCCTCGTAAAATAACCCCGCGGTTTGGGTTCCTCCAGCCCTGCCCGAGCGGGCAGGTTGCAGTTGCTGGTTTGTGGTAAGGCAGGAGCTGTTCCCTGCAGGAGCTGGGTTGCGTTTTTAGCCCTGGAGTGTAGAGTTCAAGGTGTGCACGAGGCACGAGGCTGCGAGCAGGGGGCTGCGAGCAGGGGGCTGCTCCCGTCTCGCCTCGTCTCCGGCGCGGCCACGCATGGCACTGGGAGTGCTTGGGGCTGCTCCACAGCTGCCGTCAGCCTCTGGGGCTTCTTTGCTTTCAGAAGCTTTAAAAAGATTTAAAAATCCTGTGAGCTTGCAATTCTTTGGCCTTCGACTTTAGTACCGATGGTAGAAATCTTGGCTCTGCTTCCCAAGCACCCTTAGGGGTAGCTGGGGGACTGGCACCGGGGGTCTCCAGAAACAAACTGTCCCCGATTATATATATATATATTTTTTTAACCTCCTTGCCTTAAAATTTCCCAGGAAAGGGTTTGTTCCCAGGTGAGCTCGGTGACCCTCGCCCCCTGCAGTCCCAGCCGGGGAGGGGAAGGGGCTGGGGCAGGTCCTGCCCCGCAGCTCGGAGAGGTGCTGCTCTCCCCTGCTCCTTCCAGATCCTCACCCCAAAACCCCTGGGGGTGCGCAGGACTCGCAGAGCTCATCTTGGGATCTCTTCCTCTCCACCTCTGCTCGTGTGAGGGTCTGTGCTGCCAAAGGGGGGGGGGGCTTCACCCTTTTGCTGCGTGCACCCCTGGTTAAATCCAGACCTGGATAAAACCCTCGGGGGGTCCGAGCGATGCCCAGGAGTGAGCTGGCAGCTGCTGAGCCCCAAAAACCCATCCCTGGGCTCTGCTCCTCGGCCCAGCTCCCTGCCACCGCGCTGTGTGTGTGCGCTTGGGGCCGGCACGCAGAGCAGGGTGCGTCCCTTTGTCCCACCCGAAACCATCCTTCCTCCCTCTGGCTGGCTACAAGTCCGCAAATTCCCCGTTTTTTCCCCTTTTTTCCTTCAGCGTTTGCATGTTCACAGCTTACAGGTGGAGGATCCTCTGCCCTGGAGGGCTGTCGGTGCTGCTGGGCGAAGTAGTTGGAGAGGCACGAGGAGGGGGTGCGAAGGACAGAGGACGTGTTACGGTTCCTAGCAGGAAAGCTTAAGAAAAGTGGATTTTCTTCCTTTTAAGTGGTTAGCATCGCAGACGGGGCACGTTTTCCCTGCCTGGATGCTGGTGTAGGGGGGGGGAAATGAGCCCTGGTGCTGGGTTCCCAGCCCAGCCGCGGGCTGCTCGAATATTTGGTGCTGGTTTTGTATTGCTGAGACGATCTGTATTCATTTTAATCATTTTTGGAAAACAAAACCAAACGTTACTGCTCTCCCCCCCCCAAACGGTGCTCTCTGTGTCGATTTTTGTACGTGTGACGTCGGCGTTGTGTGCTTGGGGACCTTGCGGGTTGTTTTTTTTTGTTTTTGTTTTGTTTTGAGTTTTTTCTAATCGGAGGGAACAAAGTTTCTGAGCTGCTGGAGCGAGATGCCCAGATGAGATTGGCGCGGTGGACGGTTTGAGGAGGGCGGAGGCAACGCCGCCGTGGTTTGGAGTTTCCAGCCTGTCTTTAATCGAAACGAACTGATGATGCCTAGCCAGGCTCAGCCCGAGTTCAGTGCCTGAAGCTTTTTGTAGCCGTGATATCCCAGAAGAGAACCAGCGACGTCCTGAAAGATGCGCTCTTATAGAGCGGCCCTAAGTATCTGTCCAAATATTTGCTTCCATTTTCAAGAGATAAAAGTTCATTGATTACAAACTTCCTCCTGGTTGCTTCTTCTTTGGCTCCGCTCGGCGCTGCCCGGGGTGGCTGGCAGGGGGGTGGGAGGGGGGGGCACGGCTGCTGCTCGCCCCTTTTTCGGGGCCGGGAGCTGCGGCAGCAGCTGCTCAGGAAGGCGTAGGAGTGGGGACAACGTCACGGCCTGAACGTGCGCCCAGGTCCCCTCCTGGAGCCCGGCACGGGCAGATGGAGGGGCCGCGGGGGTTGATTCTGCAAATCCTGCAACCAGGCACGGGGACAGGGATGGGGACGGGGACAGGGACAGGGACAAGCTGTGCCCTGGCCTGCCCAGGACACTCGGCATTGCTCCGGGCTCTGTGTGGGGTGGGTGAGCCTCAGTAGCGCCCACAATTTAGGTTTTATGGCCTGGCGGTGTCGTAACTGACAGCACCCAGTGCGGAGATGGGAAGCCGAGTGCGTCAGACTGTGGCCGAGCAGCCTGGTCCCCGCGGTGCCTCCTCCAGCAGGAGGTTGGAGGCTTCCCAGTGAGCAAACCCCGGGTTTGTCCGGTGTGGGATGCTGCTGGGGGTCCCCAAGGGAGCCGAAATAGGGACAGGACGGGGATGCTCTTGAGGAGCTGCTCCCTCGCTGCCCGTGCCCACCCGCAGCCCAAGGGGATTTTTCCCCAGGTGATGTGCAGGGGACCAGGAGCATCCTCCAGGGGATCTTTGGGGGATTCCAGAGGGGCTGAACGCAGCCAAACGGCCCCGTGGGGCTGTGCCGGGGGGGCAGAGGGATGCGGTGGGGTTGTTTACGGCCCCGGGCGGCAGCCGCAGAGCGCTCGCTGCGGATGTGATCTTGCAGCACCCTTCCTGCGGCTGCGGCTCCTGCCTGCTGCTGTGCCGGTGCCTGCGGTCAGGGCGGGTTCCTTCCGAGCTGCTGCACCCCTGGGTGCCCAGGGAACGCCCGCGGCCCCGTGCCCCAGATGCCGCCGTGCCCCACAGCTGCTCCTTTGGGGCCAGGAGATGTGCCCTGGCACAAGGGCTCTGCAAATGCCTCGAGCCAAGCCCCCGCATCCCTCCTCTGCTTCCTCGCCGCATGGGAAGGCTGCTCCCCACATCGGGGTCCTCCTATGGGGTCGCCTCTTTGTGGGGGCCGTGTCTTGCCCCCATTTGGCCATGCCCACACTGTGCCAAGGGCCCCGGGGCCGCCTTTGCCTCCACTTCTGCTTTCGGGGCAGCCGCCAGCCCCGGCACACAGACCCAGAGGAGCAGGACGGGGGCACCCAAGGGACCCCCCGCTAACGGGGACAGGACTTAGGGGTGCACCCCAACGGGTGCACGAAGCCCCCAGCCCTCAGTGGCCCCCGCTGGCAGCGTGACGTCCTTCCCCCCCAGGGCTCTCCGAAACCGCAGCCGTGTTTCCTGCCCGCCCCGGCGGGGAGGTGCAGGCGGGGCGCAGCCCGCGACGCCCCTCGGCTCTCACCCGGTACCGGGGCTGCCGGGCCCTCGGCGGTGACGGCCACCGGTGCTGCAGCTCGGGGTCCCACAGCGTCCCCTGGAAGAGGTGAGCCCTGGCAGGGGGGGTGCTCCAGATCCAGGCCCCAGCACCCCTGGGGCTCAGCCCCAAGGATGGAGAGGGTGCCGAGGGGATGCTCGGGGGTGCATTGGGTGCGCACGGGTCCCCAGGGGTGTCACTCTGCTCCGTGCTGGTCCCCAGGGGTAGGATGGTGGGTGTGGGAGCCCCCGTTCCGGGTGGCGTCAGTCGGTTTTTGGGGCTGGGTGCGGGGCCCTCCCTGCCTTCCAACCACTGGGGCTGTGTGTGAGCGAGGGGCAGCCCGTGGGGAGCTTTGGGGTGGCTTCGCCTCTGCTCCGAGCGAATGGCTCAGCTTTTGGGGCACCCTCTGGCCGCACGGTGGCCTGCTGCTGCCCGCGGAGGGGAGGACGGGCAGCCCGGGGTGGGGTCGAGCCGAAGCGTGCGCGACAGTCCCCGCGCTTTCATTTCCACGCGGGACGTCAGGCTGCAACCACCCATCTCGCAGCAGCCCCCTCCAGCACGGCTCGTTTCCCATTTCCAGCCTCTCGACTTCCTTTTGCAATTTTGCTTTTATTTTTTTTTTTGCAGAGCCTCCCGCAGGTGGAGGGGCCCCCAGTTTCACCTACCCTCTGCGTTCCCCCCCCCCCTCCTTCCCCAGGTGCCATGGCGCTGTGCTGGGCCGTGCTGGTGGTGCTGGTGCTGAGCACCCTGCGGGCGTGCGGGGCCGGATCCCCGGAGCAGAGGGGGCTGCAGTGGGTCTGGGGGGCAGCAGAACCAGCACCGGCCGAGCCCCTGCTGCCCTCCCGCAGGCGAAGAGCCGATTATGGGCAGCCCCCCCCTGGCACCACCATGATGCCCGAGAGCAATGAGACCGAATCCCTCGTGCCCGACTCGCTGCTGGGCTCCACGCTGCCTACCGGGGCTCAGCACCAACAGCAGCCTGCCCCAGCAGCTCACCACGCTGCCCGTGGACCTGGATGAGACCGATTCCCCCGAGCCTGACTCGCTGCTGGGCTCCACGCTGCCTCCAGGGCTCAGCACCAACAGCAGCCTTCCCTTGGAGGTCACTGCTTTGCCCATGGACCAGGATGAGACCGATTCCCCCGAGCCCGACTCGCTGGGCACGGAGCCGCCGCTGGCAGCGGGCACCAACGCCAGCCTGCACCGGGAGCTGGTGCTGAGCACCGCGGACCCGCAGGATGAGACCGACTCCCCCGACCCCGACTTGCTGCCGAGCTCCGCGCCCAGCACGGAGGCAGCACCCCAAAGTAACGGCACCGCCATCCCCGGCTGGCCCGTGGCATCCGGGGGGCCTGGCACCGAGGGGACCGTGGCTGGTGGCACGGATGCCAGCTCCTCCACGGGGACCGTGGCCGGCAGCACTGATGACATCTCCACAGGGAGCATGGCTGGGGGCACGGATGCCACCCCCATGGAGCCACGCTCAGCTCTGCCCCCAACCAGCATCATCCACAAAAAAGCCAGGGACCCCCCGGTGCTGTATCACCCAGGGGAGGCCACCGCGGCTCCCTCGGACTCGAAACCCGGGGGGAAGGCGGTGGAGGAGCCCCCCGCCATCCCCTGGGATGACAACGCTCTGATGAACAAGTGCCTGCTGGCCATCCTGCTGCTGGCTCTGGTGGCCGCCTCCTTCATGGTGTGCACGGCGGTGCTGGCCGCCCTGCTCTGCCGCCGGGCCCGCACGGCTCGCCACCAGCTCAGCCCCACCGAAATGGTTTGCATCTCCTCCCTGCTGCCTGACGGCGAGGCCCCTGCCGCCAACGGCCCCCGGCTGGGCCCCCACCGGCACCGCAAGCTGCTGGCCGATGGCAGCTCCGAAGCCGATGGTGACAACCTGACGCTCAGCAGCTTCCTCCCCGAGCACCCCTGAGCCGGGGGCTTCGCGGCCCCCGCAAAGCAGAAGCAGCTGGAACGGACTCGGTCACCCCATTAAAGCGCCTCTCCTGCCCGGACGTGGTGGTCTCTTGGCTCCTGCCCACATCCCCCTCCCGAAATTTCGGTTCTCCATCCTCTTCTTCTGGCGGCAGCAGAAATGAAACCCACCCCCCCCCCCCCCCAGCTCCCTTCCCTGGGTGCTGAGCAGCCGGGGACGGCGGCTTTGGGTCCCCGGCCTCATGGCAGGAATGGAAAGGGTGTGGGACATGCCAGAAACACCGCTGGGGCCGGGGTGGCCACGTTTGTGGTGTCCCACACAGAGGGGTGAGGGGACCCCACCAGGATCCACCCCGGGGAGCAGGAACATCCCAGGGCTCTCCCTGCCACCCTCTGAGTCCCCACATCCCCATCCCTGTCCCCCCATGCTGTCCCCGTGTCCCCACCCCGTCCCCACTGTCCCCACATCCCCACCGCCCTCCTCACACCGCCCTTGTGGTTCGCAGCCCACGCTTGGGCACCGAAGCGTTTCGGCACACGCTGGTGGCCCCGTGGTGCCGTCCCCTGTGCCTCGAGAGCGGCCCTATTCATGTCCCCGGCCCCGTGTTTACATTCACGCCCCGCTTCAAATATTTTCCACCCGGGCCCGGGCCCCCGGTGAATGTAAATGTTTATGGCGAGCCCGTGCGGCCTCTCAGAGGGACCCCGGAGTGCGGGGGGGGGGGACACCGCTCGTGTCCCATATTGGTGACACCCCCCGGGACTCGGTGTAGGGCTTTGAGCCATGTTTGGGGAGCGGGGACAGTCACCCGTGGGGTCCCTTACAGCAGGGAGGTGCCACAGGGTGGGCATCGCCCCCGTCGCCTCCACACCTCCACAGAGCCAACAACCCCGTGTAAAAACCCCTCACAGGAGGCCACGTCCCTGATTTTATGGGGTTTGTGTGTCCCCGGGACAGCAAGGACACACGTGGGGACCGTGGGGGCTGTCACCTCACCCCAGCAGAGGAGGGGGCAGTGTGGGGGTGCTGCCCCCTCAGGGTGCCTCACTTTGGGCCAGGATCCTTTTCCTGTGGGGAAATATTGGGATTAGGGTCGGACAGCCGCCAGGGGATCGCCCTATTTGGCCTGACAGGCTGCCACGGCCCAGCTCACGGCCTAGGAATCTGCAGGAGGCCGGCACGGGCGGCCCCGCTGCCCCAGGGGGGGCGGCATGAGGGGAACGGGGCCCTGTGGGACATGGGGACGTGTGTGGGGACAGGGCCCATGTGGGGATGGGGGCTGTGTGGGACATGGGGAATATGAAGGGGGACAGGGCCCAGTGTGGGGGAATGGGGCCTGTGGGACATGGGGACAGTGGGGGACAGGCCTTGTGGGGAATGGGGCTGTGTGGACAGGGCCCTGTGTGGGGTACGGGGCCCTTTGTGGGGTATGGGGCCCTTTGTGGGGTACGGGGCCCTTTGTGGGGTATGGGGCCGTGCAGTGCCACACACGAGGCTACACGCGCTGAGGTGCAGCCCTACAGGACAAGGCCTCCTCCCCCCCAAATCCCGTCGTTTTGCTGCCCCAGCAAAGCAAATTAGAGGCAGAGCCAGGCCCGAAATTTCCCAAATTGCCGGGTTGGGCTGGAGGTGGCTGTGCCACCCGCCCCGCAGAGCCCAGCCCTGTGGGTCCCCCCCCCCCTTTCCCCTTTTCATCTGCCCTAAATTACAAAGCGGGGCCGGGCGGCGCGGCCCTGCCCAGCGCCGAGGGGCTGAGGCGTCCCTCCCCGGCGGCCAAAACGGCTCCGGGATGGCTGTGGGCACTGGCACCCGCTGCTGGGCTGGGACAGGGACAGGGACAGGGACAGGGACAGGGACAGGGACAGGGACAGGGACCCAAACCCAGACCCAAACCCGGACCCAAACCCAAACCCAGACCCGGACCCAAACCCAGAGAAGGGGCTGGGGGGACCCAGCCCATGAGGGCCGCATGTCCCCAATCCATGAGGTGTCACACCACGGGCAGTGGCCCTGCCTCCCGACCCCAAAGGGGCTCCCACAGCTGGGGAAGGCGTTTTGGTGTTTTCTGGGTGCCCTTACACCCCCCAAAAATTGTCGTCGTCCCCCCCATTGTGGTGGTGAAGCCGGACTGGATGCCGCTGGCTCTCCTCCAAGCTGCTCGGAGGGGCCCCGGCTCCGTCCCCCCTGCTCCCTTTTAAGCTTTTTAGGATAATTTAAGGCCGGGTGAAAGCCGTCCCGGCAGCTGCGAGCAGCTGGCCGGCTGCAGACAGACGGACTGACGCGGGATTTTTGGGAGCGGGGGGTCCGGCTGCGCTGGGTGACGCCGGGTGAAACACGAAACGGGGACAGGGATAGGGACGGGGATGGGGACGGGGATGGGGACGCCTGCCCTCACCCCCCCCCCCGCCAGCCCTCTATCCCCAAGCCCTGGCTGTTTAGGGGGATTCTGGCAGGGTCCCCGGGGAGGCGCGGAGCCGAATAGCAAGGGGATGAGCTCACTGCGGCCGCCAGCGTCTTGAGCAATTTCAGCCCAGACAGCGCGGGCGGCGGGGGGGGAGTGTGGCCAGGGCAGGGGGACAGGGGGATGCCCCCCTCCCAGAGCCTGTGACCCCATATGGGGACTCACAGGGGTGATTTTCCCTATGTCTGCCCACACCCCAAGGCAGAGATCCTTGCTCGGGAGCTTTTCCGGGTGGTGGGGGTTAGGAAACTGGGCTCCGAAAACCAAGGGGGTTGGTCCCAAGCCCTGTTTGTCCCCAGGCTGCATCGTGAGCCCTTAAAAGTGATGGGGGAGCAAGCCCCAAACCCCTCCCCATCCCCATCCTTATCCCTGTCCCCATCCGTGTCCCCATCCTTGTCCCTGATCCCCCTTCTAGGGCTCTGGGGTCAATGGATGGATGGATGGGTGGATAGATGGATGGATCTATCAATCAATGGATCAATAGACGGATGGATGGGGCAGATGGGCAGAGCTCCCCCATGGGTTTCAGATCCCTTTTTCTCCTGGGGCAGATGGCTTGCAGGATGGGGTGGCTGTGTCCCACCAGCCCACCCTATAGCATGGTTTGGGTTTGCAGCAACAGGATCTGGCCCCGGAGCTGGGTCTGTGGGGCTACCCACGGCTCTGCAGGAGCCACCCTTTTACCTCCAGCCTTCCCCTTGCCCCCTCTTTCTGCTCCTGCACCCCAAAAAGGACTGCGGGGATGCGGGGATGCAGAGGGGCGCCCCATAAAGCCGAGAAGCCCCCAGCCGTGGGCTGTCCCCCCTTGGAGGGGGCCGTGATGGGTCTGGGGGCCGCCTGCCCCTCGCCGGCCTCCCCTGCTCCCTCCCCAAAGCGGCCCTAATGAGAACAAGCTGGTCCGCGGCGCTCGCAGCCAGTGAGCTCCGGGCTGCGGCGCGGGAGGAGGAGGAGGAGGAGGAGGAGGAGGAGGAGGAGGAGAGAGAAAGAGGAGGAGGAGGAGGGAGAGGGACGAGGGCTCCATCCGGGCAGGCAGCAGAAAGGGGCGAGAGGCGAGGTGCGTGGGACAGACCCGTCCTGCCGGCACCCTCCTGGCCAGGTGAGCTCCCCGAGCCCCACTCTTGGCATGGGGCCCGCTCTCCCCAAAATTCCCACTCCCCTGCACCCCATGGCTCCTTTTTTCCCCTTTTTCTGCTCATGCCCTGACTTTTTGGGGTGGCTGAGGGCTCGGCGGGACGGGGCCGCAGCCACGCGCCGGGGAGGATGCTGCACCCGCAGCACGTCGAGGCTGGAATTTCCTGCGTGGAGGAACTTTGCGTGGCCAGGCTGAGCCAGGAATGGGGCCGCACAGCGGGGATGGGGACGCGGGGACGGGGACGGCCTCGGTGCCCGTTTGGGCTTCGCTTTTTTGCCACCAGGGCTGGGGCAGCGGCTGCGCGTTGGCTCCGCTCGCTAACGGTGCCTCAACGCCGCCGCCTTCCCCCCAGGGGCCCCTCCACGGGGTGAAGGCGGCAGAGGGATGAAGAAAGAAGCCCCAGACCCCAAAACTTGTCCCCTAAATCCCAACTAGGGGGCTGAAAGGGGGGCGGCCAGGCTGCAGAACCGGGGCCGGGGGGGCCTGCCTCACGCCCCGTGCTCGCTCTGCCCTAACGCAAACCAGATTTCTGCAGCGGGAGTGCGGCCGCCAGCCAAGTCCTGCTGGCTGTGGGGGGGGCGAAAACGGGGACTGGGGTTGGGATTTGGGGGCTGGAAGGAGAGGGGGAAGCAGGTCCAGGGGTCCCTGAGGGGATGCTTCGTGTCCCGGCCCTCGTGGTGGCCCCGTGGCAGCTCCGGCTGGGGACAGGTTTGCAGCCGGGGCGAGCGTTGGGAAACGCCGCTCGCGCCGGGGGCCGGCCCCTCGGCAGCTCCGTCTGTGTCAGAGTTTCCACTGGAAAAACCTCAATTTTCAGGAATTTTCGACTCGGCCAAGCGGCCGTTGCTGGAAGCCAGCTCTTGGCTCTTGCCCCGGTCACCTCGCCACGCTCGCAGCGTCCCGGGGACTTGAGCAATCCCAGCCAGTTTCCAGCTATTTTTACAGCGCGGAGTTGCAAAACAAACACAAAGCCCTGCTCGGCCTCGCCGGCGGTGGGGCGACGAAACCAAAGCTGATTTTTTTTTTTCCTTTTTTCCTTTAATTAAAGAATTCTTAAAGGATTTTCACCCGGGTGGGAGCAGCTGGGCACACGCTCAACCCTCATGTGCTGGGGACGGAGCCTGAGCGCCTGGTTCGGGGCATGCAGCATCGAGGCCTTTGCTCGGGGCAGAATTTGGGATTTTTTTTGCTATTTTTTCACCGTTTTCCCCCTGCTTTCCGCAGCACGAGTCCCGGGGCGATGGCGGGGTGGCAACTCCTGCTGCTGCTGGTGCTGCTGGTGGTGGTCTCGGCGCATGCCGCGGCGCCCCGGCACGCCGCGTTGCTGCCCGACGCCGGCGGCAGCGGGGACGGTGACGAAGGTTTCAGCCTGCGCCGCCCGCCCAGCCAGGTGACAGCGGGGCCGGGTCCCACAATCGGGGCCACCACGGGGACGGCCGTCACCAACAGCTCAGCGCCGGGCAACGTCCTGGACGGGCTGGTGGATTTCTTCAAGGAGTACACGCTGCTGGTGGTGGTGGTGGGCTCGCTGGCCTTCGTCCTGCTCTTCATCGTCTGCGCCGCCCTCGTGGTGCGGCAGAAGCACAAAGCCTCCGCCTATTACCCCTCGTCTTTCCCCAAAAAGAAGTACGTGGATCAGCGGGACAAGGCGGGGGGCAGCCGGGCTTTCAACGAGGTGCCCGAAAAAGCTCCGGATCCCGGCGCCGAGGAACCCCTGGACTGCAGCCGGCAGCTGCAGGCTGACATCCTGGCCGCCGCTCAGAGCCTCAAATCCCCCAACAAAACCCCGCTGGCCAACGGGGCCAGCGCCCGGGGCGAGCACGAGGAAGAGGAGAAGGAGGAGGAAAAAGGGAAGGAGGAGGAAGAAAGCCAGCCCCCTCCCCAAAACCAAGCTGCAGGGGGCACGGAGGAGGCCCCCGGGGTGCCCCAAGAAGCCCCCCCCGGTGTCTAATGGGGCCGCCGCACGGAGGGGCTGTGCCCGTGCCGCCGGACTCGGAGCCGGGCTCGCGCCCGCTCCCTCCTCTCCCCAAACCCCTGAAGACGAAGCACGGCCCCAGGCACCCGGCCCCAAGCACCTGGTGAAGGTTTTGCTGGTGGCCAGGACCTTCTGTAGGGTTTGGGGCGGTTCTGCAGGGGTTTGGGGCCGTCCCAGCCCACTTCGCCCTCCGCCTGCGGTGCCTGGGGGTGAGGGGAGCGGTGCCGTGCCCCCCCGGAGGCGTTTTGGTGAGGTCCCCACCACAAAAAAAGGAGGAAAAACTAAACCAGCAGCACCCGGGCAGCAGCAGGAGGATTTGGGGACGGTGCCCCCATCCCTGCGGTCATACCCCAAACGTCGCAGCCCCTCGCAAAGCACGGGGGAGGGAGAGCTCGGAGCGGAGCTGGATTTTTTGCCTTATTTTCTGACCCCCTCGGCTCTGAATAAAGACGTTGCCACGCGCGTTGCCTCTCCCGTGTGTTCCTGAGGCCGGCGCAGCTCGGGCTGGGGGACAGGCGGGGGCAGCAGGACCCCAGTCCCAGCCCTTGCTGCACCCCATAAAGTGGGGGCAAACGGGAGGGTGAGAGGCTTCCCGATATGAAAGTCGTGTCCCCGTTATCCCCCTGTCCCCATATCCCCGAGCCCCAACCTTTGGGGAGCTTCAAACAGCTTTTTCCCCAATTTGTGCCCCACGTTTGGACCCTCAGGGCGCGTTTTGTCCCTCCCCACAGAGCATCAGCAGAGCTGAGGGTTGAACACTTTAATTACAGCTTCCCAATTAACCCCAATCCCCTCCCCGGGGATGAACGAGCAAGGAAGAAGCCCCCGAGGGCCCGGTTGGGGCTTCCCGGGGCCGTGCTCCCCACGCAGTTCTCGCCCTCGAGGCGTTTCGGTGCCTCCTGGAGAGGAGCTGGGCGCAGGGGGAGGCGTCGGGGGGGGTCGCAGATGGTGAAAGGAAGCTCCGAGAGCTGCAGGCAGCAACCAAACCCCCCCAGGAGCCGCGCGCCGCAGCGACACGCACCCCGAGCCGCGGCTCTCGCGGGAAGAAGAAGAGCAAGGCAACGCTTCCCACTCAACTCTGCAAAACTTTAGGCAAAACGCCCCATCCTCCCCAAAAACACAGCCCACAGCGGCAGGGCTGGCTCTCAGGGAGGTGCAGTCCCTTTCCCTCGGAGGGTTTCAGACCAGTTCGGCTGCAGGAGCAGCGCCGGGCTGTGTGTGGGGTTCCACGAAAGCTCGAGTGATTGCACCGCAAATCCAGCAGGAAGGAGGAGAAACCCCCCGCAGCCCCCATCAGTTGGCTTTCTGCTCCGGCTCCTCTTTCTTTGGGTGCTGCTTCAGCTTGTAGTCGGCCAAGGCGGCCTTGATTGCGTCCTCAGCCAGCACTAGAAAAAAAAAAACATGTTTTTTTTAAATTATTTTTTAAATAAATACTTCAAGAACAGGTTATTTACAAAAAAAGGTGACATTAAGAGCAGGAGCAGGCAGCAGGAACCAGGACTGCGGTTAGCAGGGAGCACGGTGCCTCACATCAGGATTTGAACTTTTCATTTCTAATTTCCTGATTTATGCAGACACCAAAAGGTGGAATTGATGTCAAAATTCATAACCAAGGTCTGCACGTAAGCAAGGTTCTCTTGCAGGCCAATCTTTGCTGCTCCACGTGCAGAAAGTTTATTTAGAAATAAATAAAGCAGCCTCTGCAGTGCCCCCAAAAGGCTCGCCCTGCAGTCCAGCTGTTTAACTCTCCCAGTTCAGCCCCGTACTTACTGGAGCAGTGCAGTTTGACCGGAGGAAGGCAAAGTTCTTTCGCAATATCCGTGTTCTTGATCTTTAACGCTTCGTCGACCTGAAATGTAGTTAGTGTGTGGTCAGCAGCCACCTCACGCACACACACACACCACAGAGGCGCTCGCTGCAAGCTTTAAAGCTCCAGAGTCAACTGAATCGACATGGAAAAACATCTCAAACTGCCAGGGGCAGCAAGAGATGTTGAGAGCATGATAAGATATGCAAAGCCTCTCAACATTCCCTGTTTTTTTCTGTACCTGACACACAACAAGTTTAAGGAATGCCTCAGACAGACCAGTGGCAGTAACAAACCACAGCGTGCCGGTGTCACTGCAGGGACTGTCCCCTCCCCGATCCCAACAGGCAGCTTGAATGCTCAAATACTTCAATATTTAAGCACACGGCGCCACTTCCAACCGCGGCCAAGGCTCTTACCGTCTTCCCTTTAACCCACTCTGTTGCCAGGGAGCTGGAAGCGATCGCTGACCCACAGCCAAAAGTCTTGAAGCGAGCTTCGACGATCCTGCCGTTCTCATCTACTTCGACCTGGAAGAACACGGGGAAGAACACCTCAGCTCCACGAGGCAGAGCCCAGGGCTGCAGGGACAAGCCCTGCCCAGGCTCCAGGGGACATTTTAACATCCGAACGAGCTGACAGGAGAAAGCTGCGTCACAGCCCTGGCTGAGGGGAGGGAAACAGCAGCAGGCGTGGGCCTCGCAGTGTCCCCACGCTCCCCCTGTGTCAGCCCTGAGGTTCCTCACCTGCAGCTTCATGACGTCCCCACAAGCCGGGGCGCCCACCAGCCCGGTGCCCACATTCTTCGCGTTGCGGTCGAGGGAGCCGACGTTGCGCGGGTTCTCGTAGTGATCCACCACCTGGCGGGGCAGAAACAGCACCGTAAAATCATAAAGGTTGGAAAAAACACTCAAGATCACCCCCTCCCACCAATGTCACCCAGCGAGCCGTGCCCCCAAGCACCACGTCCGACCTCTCCTTGAGCACCCCCAGGGATGGTGACGCCACCACCTCCCTGGGCAGCCCGTCCCAACGCCTGGCTGCTGTTTTTGAGGAGAAATCTCTCCTTAATTCCAACCTGAACAGCTCGGGGCCATTCCCTCCTCTTTCTGAGAAGAAATCTCTCCTTGTTTGCAACCTGAACAACTCGGGGCCGTTCCCTCTCCTCCTATCGCTGCTTATCGATGAGGAAAGGCCAACCCCAGCTCCCCGTAAATTCTTATCAAATAATTATAAAGCACAATAAGCTCTCCCCATAGCCTCTATCCCACCCCCAGCCGCCCCTCACAGGCTTTGTGCCCCCAGCCCTGCCCCAGCCCCACTCCAGGCCCTCAACGCCCTTCTCATAGCAACGACGCCACAACCCCACACAGCGCCCGACCTCCGGAGCTGCCCCCAACCCCTCCACAACCCCTCCCCGGTTTCTCGGTGCCCTCCGCAGCCCCCAGCCCCTCACCTTTTTGTGGTAACCCAGCGCCGGCCCCCCCGCCCCGCGCGCAGGCCGCAGGAGCAGCGCCGCCCCCGCCCTCCCCAGCGCCGCCATCTTGCGTCTGGCTGCGCTCTGCCCTGCCCGCCCTTCAGGACCCCTCCTCAGCGAGGCCCCGAGCTGCCCGCGGCGCCGCCTGTTTCCCGGTCCAACCGCCGCGGGGCAAAACCGGGCAGCGCTCAGCGCACGGCGGTCGAGGAGCGGTGAGAAACCGGGAGCGGTGCGGGAGGGCTGCGAGGGTTTCTTCCTCACGGCGGGTGAGCGGTGGGTGTGCGCTGCTTTGAGGCAGGCGCGGCGCGGACGGCCCCGGCGGGTGGCTGGAGCGCGGCGGGCGCTGAGGGGAGCTGCATAAGATGGCGGCGGCGGGAGCTGAGGCGGCGGCGGCGGCGGCTGAGGAGGAGGCGGAGGAGGGGGGGAAGCGGAGGCTGCCGCTGCCGGACCCGGAATCGGGCGGTGATTCGGAGGACGAAGGAGACTCGGACTCGTCAGGGGATGGCGAGGATGAGGAGAAGGAGAACGAGGCCGAGATCCAGCGGCTGGAGGAGCAGGTGAGGGGGGTGGTGAGGGGAGGGGGACCCCAGAGGGACCCAGAGCCCCTCCCGGTTGCTGTGGGCTCCCTCGGGGCGCCCTCGGCCTTGGCCGTGCTTTTATGGGGTTCCCCGTGGGTCCCGAGGGTTTTAGGGAGGTCCTGGGGGTCCCCGGTGTGGTGTGGGGCTCGGGGGGGGGGGGGTCACGGAGCTCTTTCTCCTCAGAGAGCCCCAACGGGCAGGCGAAACGCGCTGAGGGGCTTTGGGGTCGGTCCCGTTGTTTTCCGTTAAATTTTGGGACACCCAAAACGCCTTAGTTTTATCACAGGAACTGGTCCTTACTCACTTAAAACGCCCGAGCAATTTTCTGCCGTGCGCCAGGTTTTGGCACCTGTGCTGCCGAGCAGGCTTTAGAGCTCAAAATTTGCTTTTTAGTACAGCTTTAAAGCTCAGTTAAACTCAAAGTGTGTCTTTATAAGTGTCTGTGGCCTGAAAGTATCCTGTGGGCACCACTGGAGCCAGCTGTGTGCAGGGAGGGAGATGCTGGGCTGGTTGCATGAACCCATGAGGAGATGCACGTGGTGTTCTGCTAAATGTTCTCTCACTTCTGCATGTCCTTATGGTGCCTTAAAATTCCACTTTTACTTTTTTCTTGAAGCTTTCCATCAACGCTTTTGACTACAACTGCCACTTGGACCTGATAAAGCTGCTCCGCCAGGAGGGAGAGCTGGTGAAGCTGAGGAGAGCTCGCCAGAAGATGAGCGAGCTCTTTCCGCTTACCGAAGGTACGGAGCTCGGCTCGGCTTGCAGCTGCTGCTGCTGCTCAGGGATCAGTCAGCGATGCACAGGCATTTTGGGGTGAAATCCCCTTGTTTCAGCAGTGAAATATGTTTGTGCGTGGTTTCAAACTCCAGTTTGAGGTCTAAAAGAGCAGAGCTAAGCTCTGCACGCAGTTGTGGGCAGGCCTTAAAGCGCGTAGTTCTTTTTCTTCCTAATAAACCCAGAGGCAATGTAAATACCACAGAGGCTGTTCCGCCGGTGTACTTTTAGCCTTGGCAAGGGAAAGTTTCCTTTTATGCGTGTGGGAACGTGCAGCCTCTGGAGGCATTTATTGTTTCCTGTAAAATGGGAGGAAGGTGTGCCACTCAGCAGCTCTTTGGTTGCTGGTGCACTCAGATCTTCTACACAAACTACCAATAACTTGCTGCTTGCAGCTGCAGCTTTCTTTAAATAAATGTGTGCTTGTTTTGTACCCAGCTGGAGAGGTCTGTGCCAAAGTCTTCATTCAAATTAATTGTAATTGTGGCTAAAGTTGCTTTTTTCCCCATTGTCCCTCTCTGTGTTTTTAACTCTGTTATTAAAAACTCCAAACACTTGAACAAACAATTGAAGTTATTTTTTTCTGAGCTTTTTGTGATGGGTTTTAAACTTGTTGGTTTCAGAAATCTGGCTGGACTGGCTGAAGGATGAGATAAAGATGGCTTCTGAGATCTCGGAGCGAGAGAAAGTTTACGAGCTGTTTGAGAGAGCCGTGAAAGACTACATCTGTGAGTTCTTAATATGTACTATAAAACGTATTGTTACATTCAGATTACACCTTTCTAGGAAAAGCTTCTCGTTCTAATGCAGAAATTGCATCAAAAATAATAGCATGGAGTGATCCTCGCTTTGTTCTGAAGTGTTTGAGTTACAGGCCACTTAAAGGCAATGCTTTAAGTGCCACTGCAGTCTAAGATAGACAAAGCTAACATTATAAAAAAAAAAAATGCATTTTTTGTGCTTTTCTAAACTCTGTAAGCAGCAAGTATTGTGCTTGGTTAAGGAATGCTTTCTGCATTACCCAGGGTATGTTCTTGAGCTCTTTTTTGAGAAGAATGAACCCTGTTGAGATGCTCACCTCTGCTCTCACCTTCTGTGTTGGTTAGCGCTGCCTTTGTTGTCGTTTCTGTTATGTGACAGCTCCTAAAACAGCCTGTAGTTGCTGTCCTGGAGGTAGCATTCCTGAAATGCTTTGATGTGGAAGAACCTCGCCGTGTGGCCCTTGTTAAAGCGAGGGCAGCATGTGGTGGCTTCTCTCTGTCGGGAGCTGCCTGCAGCCATGTGCTGCTTCAGAGCACTGCGTGCTGCTTGGGTGTTGTGGCAAGGTGCTGAAAACATGATGTTGAAAGGAGCAGAGAAGGACTGGTGTCATCAGAGGGGAATCTCTTCCAGAAAATTAATGTAAAATGTCCCAGCACGAGCATGGCTGGCACTGCCGGGCGTTGGTGGGAGTAAAGAAAACTGTGTCTTGGTCTACTTGCGTTTGGGGAGCAGAGACCCCTTTCTGTTTTTCAAGGCCCTTAGCTCACCTGTTTCTCCTAACCTTGTTCAGGTCCTGAAATCTGGCTGGAGTACGCCCAGTACTCGATCGGCGGCATCGGGCAGGAGGGAGGAATCGAGAAGGTTCGCTCCATATTTGAGAGAGCCTTAACAGCCGTTGGGCTGCACGTGACAAAAGGAACGGCTCTGTGGGAAGCGTACCGCGAGTTTGAGAACGCCATCCTGGAAACAGCACAGGTAAGGCCAATCCCCTGGGCTACTGCAAGTAAAAACCTCTGGTATCGCTTCTGAAGCCACCTTGTGCTGCTTCTTCGTCAGACACTGAGCAAAGAGGCTGTGGGGTTGCTCAGCTGTTACTTCTCAGCTGTAGAAACTGGCCCTGTGCTCTGGGAAAGGCGTTCTCTGCGTTTGTTGGTGTAATAATGAGTCTGCGCTTAAATAAGGTCATAAAATCTCACATCTGGAAGCAAAATTTCTGTGCTTCAGCTTGAGCTGACAAGAATAATGTTAAACCAACTAGCTTTACTATTAAGCAGCTTGATTATTAGGCATTATTATTCTTTCCAGTGAATACTTCTGCCCATAATCGATCGTGTTTACATTTCTAGGCTGTCTTCCCCTTCAGCATTGAGCTCATTCATTGTCTCACCCTTTTTGCAACTTAGGGATTCTAGTGTATTACCCCTGGAACATGCAGGCTTGATGTCTACAAAGGATAGATACCTTTACAAGATGTCCAGAACATGAATATTTCCATTTCCTTTCAGCTTACTACATAAGATACGTCAGTTAATCAGTAATGAAATGCCCTAACACAAGGGTAATGGGCGAACACCCTTCCCCTGATAAACAGAAAGGAATCTGGAAGTTTTAAATCATCCGTGCGAGCAGCAGGGATTTATTGAAAACCTCTCTGGCAGCCCAGTGGGCTTGTGGAATGGCACGATCACACACTGTTTATCTCCAGGTTTTCATTTCCCAATGTGTGCCTCAGCTTTCACTGAGGAACATTTTTTACATTCACCCAGTTCAAAGCCCAGCAGTTCCTGAGTTTTAGCTTTCACAGCAGCCACCTGAGATGCAAGTTGCCTACGTCTGTGCTTCAAGGCTCGTGTAGTCATTTGGAGCCCAGATCCCCAGCCCATAAACAATACCCCCTCGTGTTCCTCGGCTCAGGCTTGAGGGAGCTGATTACATTTCAATCCTTTTGTTTGTAGCCAGCTCCTGGCAGCGTTCCGTCGCCCGAGCAGCAGCAGATGCTCTGCAGCCAGCTTGAGAGGATCCACACGCTGTTCAGGCGCCAGCTGGGGATCCCGCTGTTAGGTGAGAGCCTTTGCACTGGGGGAGATGGCGTGAATAACCCGGTACAGCAAGGCTTTGGTCGTGATTATTCCTCTGGTAGAGCCACACAAATTGCAGCTGTAATATCTGAACATTCCTTACTTGGTTACGTTTGCCTGTCTTTGGGGTCCCTTGAATGATGTGCGTTTCCCTTTTATTCAGAAATATTAATTGAAACTTGGTTTGCCTGTTCCTTCAGTGCATAATTTGAGATCACTTAGGCCATTTAAAGTACAAGTAATTAGCATGAAACACGACCATCAGGAGCTAGGAATTCAGCTGTGAAGCTCACTGTACAAGAAGCTTGGTTGGTAGGAAAATAATACATGCTGACAGCTGGGTTGTTAGTCTGCTGTATCAGGTTCATTCAACTTTAAACTCTTTGAGTCCCTTTTCTTGGTTCGTTGTCTCCTTACAAGAGAAGTCAAGGCACAGATCTTTGACTTCTTCATTTACGTATTGGAAGAATCTGGGTTGGCTTCTGCTTTAAAGACTTGGGATGATCTTGGGACTTTTGTTCTTGTAAAGCAAAGTCATTAGCTTTAAAATAACTTGTCCTGAGTTTGTGTTCAAATTACACTATATACGATAGTGTACAACCCCCTTAAAGGTGTAGTAGTGTAGCAGTTAATATACAAACAGAAATACTCATTTATTAGAATGAAACATAAATTGATTTCTTATTTAGTCCATTGAGTGCATTAATGATGTGGTTTCATGTCTTTTCATAGATATGGAGGCCTCATACGCTGAATATGAGGAATGGTCAGAAGAGCCAATACCAGAAACAATAATAAAGAACTACAAAAAAGCTCTGCAGCAACTGGAGAAGTGTAAACCATACGAAGAGGCACTGGTAATGCTTTTACTTTCACGTTGCTGTAAAAATAACAATTAATTGGTTTGTGGTGACTTTTTTTCTCTAGTCTGTGAGATAAGGGAGCTCCCTTGAGCATGGTTAGCTGGCTAGCAGCTATGAGCAATACGCAAGGCACTTCATAATCAGATGTGCTGGAAACTTTTGAAGCTGCTGATATTTAGAGGCCAAGCTCACGTTTGAAATTTTGCCTGAGACCTACCCTGAGTGACAGTTGGGCTGTTTGAATCACACTTTGTTGAGAAGGTTTTTATTTTTCCCTTTCCTATTTGTTTTATAGCTGGGTGCTGAGACTCCAAAGCTAGCAGAGTACCAAGCTTACATCGATTTTGAGATGAAAGCAGGTGATCCAGCTCGCATTCAGTTGATCTACGAGAGGGCTTTGGCTGAGAACTGCCTTGTACCAGATCTTTGGGCACGCTACAACCAGTATTTGGTAAGGCAAACAGAAATGTTTGGGGTTTTATCTTCCATTTTTATTTGTCTTTTTGTTTTAATATCTTAGTGGTTGATAAATAACAGGAGGTGTTCTCCCAATCCTGTCACATTGTCTTCAAATTCTCCAGAAGCTGATTTCTACTTCACCTTATTTTCAGTGGTGTATTTATTGATCAAGCGAGCGTTTGCTCAGTTTTTCCCCCAGCTTTGTATTTTCTCTGCAGAATTTGTCTTGGGCTCTCTGGCTCACAGGTACTTAAAACTTGGTGTGATTATTTCAGGACCGGCAGCTGAGAGTGAAAGAATTGGTCTTGTCTGCTCACGACCGTGCTGTTAGGAACTGTCCCTGGACAGTTGGGCTCTGGATTCGCTATCTTCTGGCGATGGAGAGGCACGGAGTTGACCACTGCATTATTTCTGGTAAAGAAATATCTCAGCAAACCTTCTTCACAGTACAGAACCACTTCTTGTTGTGCCATGAATGATGTGTGACAAGTGGTGACCTGCAGGATTTGGTGTAGCCCTTCTCCAGCAGTCTTAAAGCCAACAAAATTTACAGTAGCGTTCTTCTAGGGCACAGCTGTTATGGTTGAGTAGCTTTGCTTCTAAGCAAGCTCTTTATTTCAACTTTACTTCAATGTTGCTGAATTAAATGGGCTTTTACATTAAATTCCTTAAACAATTTACTACATTTAGGGCTTCTTGTGTCTTGTGTTTTCGTTGTCCTGTCTGCTGCAGCTTGTTAACTTTGTCAATAGTTGAAAAGCAAATACATGTTTTTTTATTTTTACCCCCTCCCGTTTCTTACAGAAATATTTGAAAAGGCTCTGAATGCAGGTTTTATTCAGGCAACGGACTACGTAGAAATCTGGCAGGCATATCTTGATTACCTAAGAAGAAGAGTGGATTTTACACAAGGTACATAGATATGTTTGAATAAATATGTGAGTTTTATGTATCTGAAACAGTGATGTTACTTTAATTAAAAAATAAAATACAGTCAACACTAGCTTCATATTCTTCACAAATAGTACTTTCTTGCCTGTCAGTGTGCATAAAATATAAGAACGTACTTGTTTTAGAGTAGCTCCTTGCTGAAAAAATAGATTGTGCTGTCACAAAAATTGTGTTTTATATGTTAGGTACTTGGTGGGGGTTGGTGTTTGTTTTGTTCTGGTATGCAAGTAGTGAGCTTTACTGAAGTAGCAAGTTTTATTTCCTGCCAAAAGAAAATCATTAGGGGTGTAAGTGAAGAGATTTTAGTGGATAGGAAATGAAAACTGTTGTTCTAAGGTGGTTCTTTCTCTGTTTTGAAGACTCAAGTAAAGAATTGGAAGAGCTGCGATCTGCATTTGCGCGTGCTGTGGAGTATTTGAAACAAGAAGTCGAAGAGCGTAAGTTAAATCATCCCGTGTATTGCTTTGTCTTGTGCAGAATCATTTTTTCATAAGAGTAGCTTTCCATATAATGTTTAACTTGTCTTCAAGTGTCTTAGACATCTTAGAAAAAGATGAATACTCCACCTATGGTCTAAAACTTGTTTAATAAACGCCCTATTTCCAAGAGCCGTTCACAAATAGTACTTATTTTTATTCCCAGGCTTTAGTGAAAGCGGAGATCCATCCTGCACCATCATGCAGAACTGGGCAAGAGTTGAGGTGATGTTTCTGTCTGCTCTATTTTAATTGCTAGAGTAGAGGAAATCTCTCTTTAAAGCGGTGGGGATGGCAGGGGGGTTGTGGTGATAGAACAAATAATCCTGACCTGTACTGAGTGTGCGGAGTGCTGCTTCACAGGCCCGTTTATGTAACAACATGCAGAAGGCCAGAGAGCTCTGGGACAACATCATGACTAAAGGGAACGCCAAATATGCAAACATGTGGCTGGAGTATTACAACCTGGAAAGGTAAGAGCTTGGCTGGACAATAGATAATTAAGTGACCTCATCTGCGTGAGACGAGGCTGATCTGCTCAGTGTTGGTACGCTCCTTAGGAGTTCACAATCTGCTTTTGAGGTTCTTAGTGCAGGTCCATGCAATATTTCAGAAATATTACAGCAACAAAGCATGGTGGGAGCTAGCTAGGGAGAGAGGAAGAGTGTTTGCACAGAATATCGTTAACCGTACTGCTTTGTGATTGTGGTGTGGAGGATCGGCTCCTTACTGCTGTGTTTTCCCCGCTGTAGAGCCCATGGTGATACTCAGCACTGCAGGAAGGCCTTGCATCGAGCCGTGCAGTGCACAAGTGACTATCCAGAGCATGTCTGCGAGGTGCTGCTCACGCTGGAGAGGATAGAAGGTAGCAAACTGCAAGTTGTTTCATTTTACTGTCTGGTTTCATTTTACTGTCAATAATAGAGTGAGCTTTGATCCAGTATTTTGTCTTCTGGTGAAGGCTCGCTTTCTTTTGTCTACCGTAGCATATGCAAGCAGTTCTTTATTTTCTTTTCTTCACCTTTTCAGGCCTGGCTTAGAGCCTGCTGAAATTGATTTGGTTTTTCCATGCCTTTTGGGGGCATTGTATGATTAAAAAGAGGTTTTTGCTCTGCTTGGATTTTGTTTTCTTTGAAGGCCATTCATTTAATTTATATTAAACATTCATGTATAATGGCTAATACTAAGAATAAGGTTTATGACTTCATTGATGCTTTTTTTCCTAGAATTGTATTTCCAAGCTATGGGAAGGCTAAATACAAAGCTTTTATTTCTTAATTCTCTAGGAACGTTAGAAGACTGGGATGCAGCTGTGCAAAAAACAGAAAACAGATTAGCACGAGTTAACGAACAAAGAGCAAAGGTCAGAACTTTGAACTATAAGCAGTTTATAGGAAATACCTATTTTAAGATCAACCTTGACTGTCAGATTTCTAATGTTGCTTTGTACAGATAAGCCTAAATTGTCTTAAAGCTTCGGCGCTATTGATTTTAGTTTAAAAGTATAATTTAACTTCTTTAGTGCTTCTTTATGTTTCACCTTTTGACACTTGGATGAATATAAGAGTAACAGGAGTGCTCTAGGAAAAAACTATCAGAGCAAATAATTGACATGTGTTTTAAATGGTGGTTCCATTAGCTTTGTGTTTATATAGCTTAGGAGAAAACCCTCCAGGTTCAGTACTGTAGAAAACAGTGCATGAGGATGCTCTGCAGCATGCAGTTGCTTAAATAAGAATCTCTTTCTTAGGTCGCTGAGAAAGAAGCTGCTCTGGCAAAGCAGGAGGAGGAGAAAGCTGAGCAACGAAAGCAGGCTCGGGCAGAAAAGAAAGCTTCCAAAAAGGCTAAAAAAAATAGAATTGGAGACAAACGCAAAGCTGATGATGATGATGAAGGTGAATGGGGACGAGAAGAAGAAGGTAATAAAACAAATGTGTCAGTCCTCTGTCACTGGGGTTACTGGGTGATTGCCTGCAGTTAGAGGCAGATGAAGAAGTGCTCTCAGTGTCTTCAGAGCTGCAGTTTTTTCAGGGCCTTTTTCTCCCAGGAGACCTTCATTGTATTAGCAAGATGAAGTGTGTTTTGGCTAGCCGAAGTACATACCTAAACGAACTTCTAGAGGTTTTTTTTGTAGATTTTTCTTATTTCAGAGAAATATTGTGATTTTTCTTCTCAATTTAATTTTCCTGAGTCATCAAATGATGCTGAAGCATGCGGAATCTAAACTTGGTTATTTGGTATTATAGTAGTCTCTTGGAGGGTGGTACCAGAAGATCTTAAGATTGTTGCCACTGGGAGTATGGGAAGCTTTTTTTTTTGTTTGTTTTTTAATAAAGATCCTATTTGACAGAGAGCATGAGTCAGAAGTTGTAACTGACAAAACCAAATATTGTCAGTGCTTCCATTTAAATCCTCACTGTCTTGGTCAAGTAATCTGTTTCTCATTATTAAGAACCTGAGGGAGGTTTTTATTGCCTTGGAGCTGTCATTGTATTTTCCATCTCATTCATATTTGCTATTTCATGATTCCATGGTGGTAATGAAGGGCAGTCTAATTTGAGTGCTGAGTGAAATGGTGTAACTTTTCTAGTAAGGCGCTCAATTTCATTACTCAGCAGAGCAGCCCAGCAAGAGGCATAAGGGAGACGGCGATGGTTTACTTCTTGAAGAAGACATGGAGTTAGAAACTGGGCTGTTTGGAAGAAGTGGAACTGAAAAACCAGATCGGCCGGCAAACCAAAAGCAAAAGGCATCCACCAGTCGAAAAGACATCCCCAAAGTTCTGCACGACAGCAGTAAAGATAACGTTACCGTCTTTGTCAGCAACCTTTCCTATAACATGACAGAACCTGAAGTGAAACTGAAGGAGCTTTTTGAGAGCTGCGGGGAGGTAGAGCAGATCCGCCCGGTGTTCAGTAACAAGGGGACGTTCCGGGGCTACTGCTATGTAGAGTTCAAGGATGAGAAATCTGCTCTCCAAGCTCTTGGGTTGGATCGTAAAGTTGTGGAGGGAAGACCGATGTTTGTTTCTCCTTGTGTTGACAAGAACAAGAATCCAGACTTCAAGGTAAACTTTTATTCGCTCAAGAAGTGGGTTCATCAGTGGGACTGCGTTGGAAAGCTGGCAGGATGTGTTGCTTCGTGAGTTCCTGTATCTAACAAATTGATGTCGTATTAGTTTGGCGTAGTTACCTGATGTTAATTCTACAATCTGTGCTTTTCTACTTCACTGGGTTATGTGCAGAAAAACTCAGTATTCAATTAGTGACACTTGAGCAAGAAGACAGACATATCAATGGTTCTTTTTTTTTTTTTTTTGTAAAACAAAGGTAATGCTTAAAAACTTTTAAGAATTCCTCGCACATCCTTCGTGGATGACTGTGTTTATATGCAAATATCTCTCAAGATACTACTAATGGCTTTTTTATGGCGTGGGTGTTGTCTGTTAATCTCACCTTTTCACTCAAAAGGTTGAGAGATTTATAACAGGTTGAAATTCTTTGTTTCTGGCTGGCTTGAGAACTAACAGCTTTTTTTTTTTTATTTATTTCTTCAGGTGTTCAGGTATAGTACCACACTGGAGAAACACAAACTGTTCATATCTGGCTTGCCATTTTCCTGCACTAAGGAAGAGCTGGAAGATGTGTGTAAAGCACATGGGAATGTGAAGGACATCAGGCTGGTCACCAACAGAGCAGGAAAACCCAAGGTAGGTGTCCTTAATGCACTGTTAATTTCAATGAAATCCTTCAAAAGGGAACTCTTCGTGAGATTTGGATATAAAACATAGGTTTTGTAGCTTAAGGTAAATGACTTGATTATTGTTGCCAAATGGGCTTTGCATTAAAACTCATAGAAATGCATGGATTTGTGTAACCTCGTGTGTCTTTGTGCCAACAAATAAGAAATAGGAGGGGAAAGAGGATTTTTTCTGAAATACTAATTAAATTACATGAGAAAAATGTGTGATATAAAAAGGATGGAGGGAAAGAGATCTGCAGCATTTTCAATATAGTAAAAAGAGGCGTCAGTAAGTCTGCAAAGAACACTTGTTTCTAAAATGTTTCTAAAATAACTGGCTGGGGTTCACCTGGTATAACTGATCCCCATCCTGCTTTATCTTCAGTTCCTTCATGCTATTGTGCATAACACCTGCTGCAGTACTGGATTTGCCAGTGAGAAATGAGACACCTCTGACAGGGTTTGTTATGTCCATTTTGCAATAAATGGGTGCTTGTTAATAAGAGACTGTCACGCAGAGAAAGAATGACTAAAACTAGGTTACCTCTTCCCTTATTTAGGGCCTGGCCTATGTGGAATATGAAAACGAAGCTCAGGCCTCGCAGGCTGTGCTGAAAATGGATGGCCTGACAATTAAGGAACACGTCATCAAGGTGGCGATCAGTAACCCGCCTCTCCGAAAGCTGCCAGACAAGCCAGAGGCAGGCAGAGCCTCACAATTTGCAGTACCACGACAGATTTATGGAGCGTAAGTATTAGCAAGGGTTTCCCAGTGCTTAACAAGCAAACACTGGGGTTGTTTGCAGGCTACAATATAGGGAGCATCATCCAAAAGATGAGGGAACACCTGAAAGGTACTGAATCAAAGAATTAGAGTTGATGGATTGATGAGGAAAAGCAGATTTCTCTGTACATTACCGATAGGAACAGGTTGGTAGTGACCGAGTACAGCAGCGTTGGACTGAAGCTGTTCTTTTTTCCTTCCAAGTGCTCCTGCTGCTTACGGTTGGTGTGGCAGTGTAGGTGCTCTGTGGATAAAACCACGGAGCTTCAATTCCTGGGGACTGTTGGGCGGTTGTTTTGTCAGGACTTCGGTGTGCTGATTCAAAGGTCGTCTGTTGAAAGCTTCGCACTACTTACTCCTGAAACGAATGACAAGAATAATACTTAAAGGGGTGTTCCTTTTAGGGAACAAAGCCCTTTTTCTCTTCCTAAGCTAGAACAGTGTGTTCAGAGAGCGGTGGGGTATTCTGAAATGTTACTTTTCCCTCTGCAGGCGAGGGAAGGGAAGGACGCAGCTGTCGATGATGCCTCGTGCGTTGCAGCGCCAGAGTAATCCCGTGGCTAAGGCTGAGAATGGGATGGTCCAGAATTCACCAGCAACTTCATCCGAACCTGCTGAGGAGCCGAAAAAGATGTCCAACGCTGATTTTGCCAAGATGCTACTGAACAAGTGAGCAGGAAGTCTGCAATCAGCTGGTCTGGTAAAATGTGAAATGCCTTTATGGAAGCCATGTTGTGTCCTTATGCTAGCAGGGAGAGAACGCCAGTCACAATCAGGTGTAAATACTGCTCGGGACTACTGCATTCATTAAGATCAGTGTAGGATGGTACAAATCCGTTTTCCTCTGTTTTTAAGAGCAAAGAGTTATACTACGTTCTGGTAAAATGGCATTTATGTGATCCCTCATATTGAGGGTACCGAGGGGGGAAATACTTCCTGTACAGGTTGGATGCCACAACATTTTTTTTCTGAATACTTTACAAATATTTCTCTTTCATTAACGAACGAGATGCGATGTGAAAGCCTAGGGCTAACCTGGTCGAGCCCCACTGCTCAGAAGTTCAGATTGTGATTGCAGTCATTCTCTCTGACAACACACCCACGTTCCACCAAAACACTCTCACACGCACGGAAATTCATCTCCTTCCATTCAGAGTTAAATGGCAAATGCTAGTAATTCACCACAATGGCCTATTTTAGTATTGGGAGAGTTTCTATACATTGGTGTGTATATGTATATACACAAATATACATATCTATGTATTCCGTTGATGTTCTGTTCGAGTTGACCTGTTTTTTATATTGTGTATTTGTAAAAGACATTGAACTTATTTTTAAGTGTCATGGATAATATTAGCTCCGTATGTTTTTTTCCCCATGGAAGCTGTACATGCTCTTGCTGAGGACCATTCTTGTTTGTTTTTTGCTAGCTAGCCCATACGTCTTTGGCAGGTGGTTTCTGTATGGTTTTGTACAAATGTGAAGTGCAAGCTGACGTTCCCTGGTTTATTAAACTCAAGTTCTCAAAGGTTTTCTATAAATACTGTTGCTTTTGTTGAAATGTGGGTGTTGGAATTGCACTTAACCCTACGGCAGCTAGGTAATACTGATGTACCTCACCTCTTGGGTGCACTGAGATCGTGTCCTCATGTACCTGTAAGTCGTTCACTCCCTTTCGTGTTAATATCTTGAACCACTTCAGTAATCACCTCAGACTTGAGAATGATCTGGCTATTATGGATAGAAATATCACTGCTTAGCTGCACCTGCTGCTACCTCGCAGTCAGCAGCTGGGGTTTGGAGGGGAGGGGGCACAGCAGGACTGAGTTCACTTGTACAACACAAGCACTGCTGCAAATAAACACTGTTTTCAGTGCTTACCTCCTGTGCTCATTTGGCTTGGCTTTACTTCAGCTTTGCTTTGTCTGCTTCCTAGCTGTGACATCAGCAGGTTTAGGGGTAGTATTGCTGTACTATAGGGCCCAAATTCTTCTTGTGGAGCCCATCTGCTCTCTGCACCAAGTGTGGACTAACCACTCAGCACCGTAATGATGCAACAACACTGTAGCTCCATCTGCTTACTCACTCTAATGCCATTTTAAGGTGAAGCTTTAATTATGGGTTAGGAAAGGATGGTTACCTTGCCCTGACATCAGGCAGGCACAGCGTATGAGTGATGAATTTGGTTTCCTTTGACTTCTAGGGCTGGACTTGCTGCTTCAGTGTCCTCCAGTGCAACTGTGTGCTGCCTGCAGGGCAGCTGCATGCACTGCCTCGTGCACCTTGCAGCTCCAGGAACTGAGCTGTGAGCGCTGCTTATTTTGCTGCCAGCAGCAGTGTTCTGACAACAGCCTAGTCCAAACAGACTTTAATATTAAAATACTTTATTAATCTGTTACTAAAATAACATTTTTTTTCCCAGAGCTCTAAAGTGCAGAATATCTTTATACTCACCTCGCACTACAAAAATAAGCATGTTTTTGTAAAAACAGAACAACCTTCCTCCCTTATTGGTTGCTTTTCCTGGCAGCAGTAATCAGTACATAAGCACGGGCTGGTGCTAAAGTACATGGATAACTCCCAAACTTGTTCTATTGCCTGTTTTTTGTATAAAACATCATAACTACATCGCAGGTAAGAGAGAGAGGGATGAGACTTAAATAGGCCTTGGGACAATACAACAACCCACACTGTTTTACAAAGGGATTAAGCTTTACAGTACTCATTGGGATTGCTTCCACATTTTCTGATCCACATTTTCTGAACTGGGAGGTTTGGGGATCTAAGATTTAAGGAATTTGGCTGCTATGCAACCAGCAGTGGTGTAGGCAGCTACTCCTCTGCCTGTTAAGCTGCAGAAGATAAGGTACACTTCAAATTGGATGGCAATTCAGGTACAACACACTGCCACTGCAGTATGGAGAGGCCTTGTGATTCTTTACACATTTACCACGGTAATAACACGACCTGGTAATTAATAAAGCTATAGTGAGAAGTTCTTGGTGTAGGTTAAGGAAACTCAAGTTCTCGCTGAATGAATTCTTACCAAAATGGCACAACTGATGAAGGCAGCCTTAGGGTTCTGCGTAACAACCTTTTCTGCCCGCAGCCTTGCAGGAACAAGCTCTTCCCAAACCCTGAGCAGAAACACACGGAGACAGCTGCAGTTTCCCAGAGAACCTGCTTGATGACGTGAGATCTGAGGCAGGGCCTCTGGGCACAAACTAATACTTCTGTTGAAATCACAGCAAAAGCAGCCTGCAGTTCAGTGAAGTAAGTCAGCGTTTCTTGTCTCTTTCCAGTCACCTGCTCTGGCATCACAGACAAATCACTCGCCCCTTGCTGCACGCAACTCGCCCTAGGAAAGGCAACTGAAAATAAATATGCAAAGTGCTGCTGAGAACAGAAAGAGGAGGGCAGAAATGCCATCGCTGAGCTGCAGCGAGCCTCCTTCCTCATCTGTTCTGTCTGAAACAAGAAGAGAACACCGCTGTGGGAGTGAAAAGGAAAATCTGATTGGCGTAGCTGGGAGTGTGCTATTACTGCAAGGGTTTGGTGGTGTTTTTTTGAACAACAGGGAGGGGGAAATGTGAGAGCAGCAACTCAGTTAAGGCTTTGGCTGGCCTAGCAGCTCCTTGCCAAGGTAAGACGAGGCTGTTGAGTGACGAGGTGAAGGGCTGCGCTGGAAGCAGCTCCTCCAAGCTTCATTTTAAGGAGAAATGAATTATTCCTACTTCAGTTCGTCGAGCCCGCGATCCCTCTCCCACCTCCATCCTGCAGCACACACAGGTTAGAGCCTACAGTCAGCGTCAACAGTTCACATTTCAGCCTGGCATCCTGGTACATAAATAAATTATATTAATTTAATCAAACAGAAGAGACTTTTAAATAAATGAAATGCTAAAGAGCGACACCCTCCTGTCAAGTTCCTTCCCAGCGAGAACAGGGAACTTTTTGTTCTCCCCCACTTTTCCCTGGCTCCTGCACGCCCGCAGCCCTCAAGTCTTGACGGGGATGGTTTGTCTGCATCCCGCCGTGCTGCCGTCCGCTTCGGGCAGCCCCACGGAGTACTCGGTGGTGGCGATGATCAGCATGTCCAGCGTGGTCTCGGTGCACTGGGCGATGAAGCGGATGAAAGGCCTGACGTCGCCCTCGTTGGCCACCTCCAGCACGTGGTAGTACTCGGCCCGCTGCTCCTTGCGGATGGTGATGGGCGGGTAGCCCGCCTGCATCAGGATCAGGTTCATCAGCAACCGGGACGTCCTCCCGTTGCCGTCCACGAAGGGGTGGATGTAAACCAGCTTGTAGTGAGCCAAGGCGGCGAATTCCACGGGGTGCAGCCCCATGGCGTCCTCCGAGTTGAGCCACTGCACGAACTCCTGCATCTGCTTCCCCACGTCCTGGGGGTGAGGCGGGATGTGGTGCCCTACAAACACCCGCGTGGCCCTGAACCTCCCCGCCTCCACGGGGTCGGCGTAGCCCAGCACCCGCCGGTGGATCTCCAGGATGTCCCCGATGGTGACGGAGCCGATCCGCGAGGCCAGCGTGGTGTTGACGTACTTGAGGGCCGCGTGCATCCCGATCACCTCGTTCTGCTCCACCAGGCTCTTCCCGGGGACGGCGTAGCGCGTCTCGATGATGTGCCGGATCTCCGACAGCGTCAGCGTGTTCCCTTCGATGGCCACCGTGTGGTAGATGTGGTGGTAGTAGGACTCCTCCATCACCCGCCGCAGGGCCGAGTTGCCTTTTGGGATGGCCATCACCTTTTTCACCTTGCTGTCGATGATGCTGAAATACCTCTGGTCGATTTCTTCCACCAAAGGCAGCGTCCGGTCCCTGTTGATCAGAGCCTTCTCGTTGCAGGGCGAAATGGTGAGCGCTTTGGAGTAGAGGTAGTCGGCCTGCAGGATGTCCTTTTCCTCTTCCGAAAAGATCCCGAATTCGTTCAGGGCGTCCACGTAATCGGGGTGCATTTTGAGGGCGTAGACGAAGAGTTTGTGAGCTTTTTCGCGCTTTCCTTGGCGCTTCATCTCCAGGGCTTGCTTCAAAGCCGCTTTGGCTTCGAATTTCACTTCTGAAACGCAATGGGGAGCGGTTAGATCACAGGGCAGCGAGTTCTCGAGTTTTGCTGGAAACCTGGAGATTATCAGCATTTGCTGATACCGAAATTCAACAAAAGAACCACAAAACGCGGGTTCCAGCCACCAGGAGAGCTGTAGGGCCACGTTTAGGGGCCGAGCACCTTACCCAATATCTTCCCCAAAATCCCAAGCTGCTAATGGCAGAGGTGTTTTGGTTAAATCCCCCGTATCTTCCCCCAAATCCCCAGCTGCTGATAGCAGAAGCATTTTAACAGAAGACCCAACATCTTCCCCCAAAATCCTAAGGTACTGACAGCACAGATCTCAGGGGAACCCCAACCTCTCCCCCAGCTGCTGACAGCAGAGGTGTTTTGGTGAAATACCCAACTTCTTCCCCAAACCGCCAAGCTGCCGATAACCCCGCTATTTTAACCAAAAACCCAGCTTCTTCCCCAAACCCCTAGCTTCTGACAGCACCACTATTTTAACCAAAAACCCAACTTCTTCCCCCAAACCCCCACCTGCTGATACCCCCTCTATTTTACCCAAAACCCCAGCTTTTTCCCCCAAAACACCAACTACCGATAACCCCTCTATTTTACCCAAAACCCCAACTACCAATACCCCCTCTATTTTACCCCAAACCCCAGCTTCTTCCACAAACCCCCACCTGCCGATACCCCCTCTATTTTACCCAAAACCCAACTACCAATACCCCCTCTATTTTACCCCAAACCCCAGCTTCTTCCACAAACCCCCACCTGCCGATACCCCCTCTATTTTACCCAAAACCCCAACTTTTTCCCCCAAAACCCCAACTACCGACAACCCTTCTACTTTACCCAAAACCCCAACTTCTTCCCCCAAACCCAAACCTGCCGATAAGCCCTCTATTTTACCCAAAACCCCAACTTTTTCCCCCAAGCCCCCAACTACCAATAACCCCTCTATTTTACCCAAACCCCCTCCACCCCCCCCCTTACCGGGAGCCGCCTCAGCCGTGCGGGGCAGCAACCGGAGCCCCCGGGGGCCACGCTGAGGCCGGTACAGCTCCTCCTGACGAAGGGCAGCGCCGCCAGCACGGCCAGGCCGCCCAGCAGCGCCGCCAGCAGCGCCGCCCGCCCCGCCGGGCCCCACGGGGCCGCCCGCCGCCGGGCCGCGGCCCGGCACATCCCGGGAGGGAGGCGGGCGGGCGCTAGGACCCCGCGGCGTCCCCGCGGACCCTGCTGCCCCCTGCGAAGCCCCGCCCACTCTCGGTTTCGGCTCTGCCATTGGTCGAACGGCGGAGGTTCGGCTTTCTTATTGGCTGCTCGCCGAGGTGTGTCCCGCCCCTTCGCCGCGCTCCGCTTCCTGCTACAGGGAGGGGGTTCCGGGTTGCGCCGCGCCCACCGGCGCGGGAGGGGCTCGTGGAGGGTGGGGATTGGTCAGCGGGGATGTCAGTCTTGGGAGGGGTAACCAATGAGAAGGGAGGTTTGGGATGGGGCGGGGCTGATGGGGCCGCGCTCTGTTGCTAGGCGACGGCTGCGGCCTGGGCCTAGGCCTGGGCCTGTGGAGGCCGCGCCTCGCCTGGGGGGGTCCTGGGGGGTCCTGCGGGGTGCTGGGGGTCCTGGGAGGGGTCCTGGGGGGTCCTGGGGCGTTCTTTTGGTCCTGAGGGGGTCCTGGGGGGTCCTGGGGGGGGTCCTGAGGAGATTCTCGAGGGTTCTGGAGGGGCCCTGGGGGTCCTGGGAGGGTCTTGGAGTTCCTGGGGGAGCCCTAGGGGGGCCCTGGGGGGTTCTGGAGGTGCAGGGGGGTCCTGGGGAGGTCCTGGGGGTCCTATAAGGAACACGGGGCTGCACGGCTCCTGTGCACAAACAGGCACGAGCAGGGGGAGGCTGGCCAAAAGCTGAAGGAAAAGGGAACATCCCCAGGGGCTGCAGGGACCTCACCCTGATTTCAGTCCCTAGCAGGACGATGGGCTTTTTTTTTTTTTTTTTTTCCCCAGATACTCACACGACGCGTCATCATAAATAAAACGTGGCAATTGAAGCTGGTTTTTCTGTGTGTGGTTGATTTTATCAAAAAAAAAAAAAAAAAAGAGGTTTGGGTAAATGCAGCTTTCAGAAGTCAGGAGGTTTTGGTGCTCCCCTGTGTGACGTGCACAGAAGAAGGTGATATTGAGCTTAAAATAAATATAAAGGAATTGTAGAAGGGTGACAAATTGTGTTTATTCTATAGAAGAGAGGGGAGCAGGGGTGGCTGTAGCAGGTATAAAGGGAGAATAATTGTAAGAGTGGCTGAGGGATATTAAACACTGGAACAGTAGAAACTGGACATTTTTCACAATATTAACAAACCCTACTGGGGACAGCACAACTACGCTGTCCCTAACGCCTCCGTCTGTGACTTCTGTTTGCTCGGTGACTTCCAGGGACAAAGGCATGCCACCTGTGTTCCCAGCTGCCAAGGAACGTGCTGCTGGCACTGAAGTAAGAGCATAGGACAGGGCACAGCAGCCTGGTCCAGGTTAGCTTCGTGCTGCTCCTGTGCTGAGCAAACAACTCGGAACAGGAGCTGCTGCTGTGTTACACCAAGGTGGCTGGGCGGTCTTCCTTTCCCTGCTTGTTTTCAGTGGTGGAGAAGGTAGAAACCACTGCCAGAGCTCTTTGAGACATTTATTGATGTTACCAGGACTGACAAAAGCAGCTTGATGAACTTGGTTCAGCCAGCAACCCTAAAAAGAGACTGACAGCACCTGGGCTCTGAGACCACTCAGCAGCAAAATGGAGCCCAAGGCGATGCCTGGAGCACAATTACCGTGTCCTCCAGCCGTTTGGAGCCTGACAAAGCCCATTAAGGCTGGAGGATAACTTGGGGGGATAATTAGCTTTTGAAGGATGAGCAAATACACCTGCCCTCCGAGAGGAACCTGCAACAGAAGCGTGTGTTTTCTTCAGCTCCAATGAAGCCTAACGTCAGAATTACAGAGTGATGAGGTATTTTCCTTCTCAAAATGGCGCAAAGCCCGTTCAGAATCTGACAATTAAGCCTGATATATCGGGGGAGAACGACCCTGATAGCCAAAAATGCCTGGCACCTCGTCCAGGTTTCGGCAGCTGGGAGCGCTCCTTCTCTGCGGCTGCTGGGTGTCTGCTCGAGGGTTGCCGTTCCAGCACATCGTTGCAATTATCTATGATTTTGTCAGGGAGAGCAAAGGGAGATCCCAAAGTAGATCGTAGGAAAGAGTGTGGGCTTTGAAAGGATGGAGCTGGGGCCCTGGGGTGGGCTGGCAGCTCTCGGCATGGCCGTGCCCACAGCCAGGAGGTCTCAGCTGGCACCCAGGGCTTCTTCCAAAGGTGCCGTGGGTTGTGCATTGCAGAGGGGTGCTGGGATGTCCTTGTGGCACAGGAGAAGCCACATAAAAATCAGTTTTTCCTAAAACTTTGAGGCCGAATTGGGTGAACGTGGAAGCAGAGGGATCCCTGGAGCCGGTAGGTGGCAGCGACTCATTTCGCTGCTCAGCAGAAGCCTCCCAGCGTTGCAGCCTCTCTCCTGGACCGCGATGCCTTCAGCTTTTAGAGGCAGTCATCACATCATGCAAAACATATTTTTAAGGCTGAATAAGGCTCTAGCTTCCTTTTGGCACTGCTCGTCCCGGGGTAAAATCGCCGTGCTGTGCTCCGGGGAGGTTTGGGGGATCTGCGGCTGGTGGCACTGCTGCTGGTGGCACGGACCTGAGCGCTCAGCGCTGCGTCTGCGGGGACCATGCCACTGATCCCTGCACCTCCCCAGTGCCTTCAGGTGACAGGCAGCAGTACTGGTGTGAGCAATGTGCTAAAACAAGAAAAATTGCTGGATGGAGGAGTTCTTTTCCAGCTGGGAGCGTGCGGCTGTGGCGTGCCCAAGGGCTGCAGCTGCCGGGGTCTCGTGCCCTCTCAGCCTGCCCTTCTCCTCCTTGGTTCCCCTGTTCCTGGGCAGTGTGGCAGAGCCTGACCAGCAGCCGGTTCCCCCGAGCTGTGGGGTTAAACCGAGGCCCTGAGGATGCCACGATCTGCTCCGGGAGCATCCCCGGGACAGGCACGTTGTCTGCTCGAGGGCTGCGCTGTGGGGAGAAGCCACTGGCTGCGGAGGCAGAGCTGCACATCGGAGTGTGGGATTTTAATCAATGAACAGATGGGCGAGTACGAGATCAAATGCCTGGTGGTAAAGCTGTCACCCGGGTCAAAGCAAGGTTGTTGTGAAAAACGGTTTTGACATTCTCAGCTGCAGCGCTTGCAAGGCAAATGGAAACCATACCCCGGATCCAAGTGCTAGCGAGCAGTGCGAAGACCAAAGGGATTTTTAATTAAAGAGAAGAAGGAAGGGTAAGCAAAAAGCAAGAGCAAGATTGCATTGTCTGATTACTTCTAGCTGCAACTAAAGACACCGAGCGAGGGGGTTCAAGGCTAAGGGAACCATTTAAAGCTCTTAGCGCGGGCACTGAGGGAGCACAAACACGGCGCTGAATAGGCAGCCGAAAACAAAGCTCCGAGAGGGTGCAGAAACAGAGGGCTTTGTTGGCTCTCTTGACGAATAATGAGGAACGAGGTTCTCAGACAGATTGGTTTGCAGCACTGGGAATAAATGGACAAAAGGGAAGCTTTCAAAGCAAGGCTGCAGCTGAGCTGGGTTATTTCGGCTAGGCCAGGCCAGAGTCGTGTGGAGCTGCCTTACCCTGAGAGCACCGCGCTTGGTTCCGCTGGCCGGTCCCAAGCAAGCCCACGCAGAACGTCTGGTTCTAATGAGAAACGAAATTTAGGGGGAGGAGGGGAATGAGGAGTCCCAGCTGCGTGGAGGAAGAGCTTTATGTTTATTGCACTTGTGGTCAGCACAGTTCTCCGAGCAGCTGAGCGCTGCCTGGCACATCTCCCTCAGTGTCCTACCCATGGAGAACTTCTGGGCCTGGGAGCCACGGAGCTCCGGGAGCAGAGCTGAGCAATCCTGGAAAAAAATCCTACACGTTTTGTGGGAGACGAGAGCACTGTTTCTCACGGCGGCGCCTGATGGCGGGAGCCTTTGAGTCAGAAACATCAGGTTTGCAGGAGTCAGCGGGCGTGGAAAGCCGCAGCCGTACGTGTTCCCAAGGCTGAGGGCGTCCCTTGGGACCCCCGGTCCGTTTCTGCCACCACCCCTCACCAGGGGGCTCCTGCAGCCCCCAAAATCCGTGGGTTCCCTGCCCCGGGGGGGCTGAGCAGAGGAGCTGCACGCTCGTCTCCAGCCTGTCCTTGAGGCTGATGTGGAAGTGCTGACTCCATAATAAGAGCCATTTTGGACGGGCTGCCACATTGACTTGACTAATGTGACTCCACGCCAGGCAATCTGGAAATATATTAAACCCGGGAGCTGCTGCGGGGATGATTTGCATGGCAATAACAGAGGGGAAATTGCCTCCCACAGCCTCCCCTCTGGGCTTTTATCCTGCCAAGCGCCAGGTATCCCCAGCTCGGTCCGTTTAATTGTCCCAGGGGCTGGATGAGCCCTCCTGGGACAAGGAGGCCTTTTGGGGTGAGATCTCAGCTAATCTCGCTTTTACTTCTCTGAAGGATGGGGGTGTTTGGCTAAAAACACACAGAGGCGTTGCTTCTTGAGAGGGATTTAGCTTCAAAACCCTCGCAGGCTCCTTGCTCCCACTCCCTTCATCGGCCTCAAAGTCCCAGGGGGAGAGGGAACCCACATAGGACGTGGCACACCGATATAGGGCTTAGCCAGGCGGGGTGAAACCAGCCTCCTGCTCCTCTCCAGGTGCCATGGTGGAGCAGGGGGGAGAGCTGTGCTATGGAGCCCTCTGCTCCCGGGGGACTCGATGCCTCAGGCAGCAGCTCCGGCACGCTCACTGCCTCCCGGGCTCGCAATCTAGGACAAGAAAGGCTAAAACAGGCAAGAGGTGGGTGTTTCGTGGGAGCAGATCACAAAAGGAGCTGCTTTCCCCTGCCAGGCTCTCAGCTCTCCCCCCTGTGAAGGTGCTGACAGCCGTCGGCCGTAGCTGGAGGCAGCTCCTCCAGGAGCTCCTCTAGGTTTGGATGCCTCCCGGCTCTTGGACTCGACTTTAAAATAAATAAATAAAAAATGATGCTCGGTCTCCGTGGCAACTGCAGCGGGCGCAGGGATGCCGGGGAGGGATCCCTGGCTATTACACGGCCTCCTGTGTGCTCAGGGAGGCTCCTGCCTCCCCTGGCGGAGGCTGGATAAGGGCTGGAGCCTCTCCTGTGCCACCAGCATGTGGGGCACAGCTCAGAGCACGTGGAGTTCACGGCCTC